TGAGAATAAGTTTATAGTGTTACCTTGATTGTTATGTAGCAATAACAATCCCAAATCTCCTTGTATTGACTTTGGAAGGCTTAGAGTCACAAGTGTCACTCCTCTAATGGCTCACAAACACCATAAGCAAGTGGAGAAGGTATAAGGAGAGAGTGAGAGGTTAGAATTCGTATCTAGGACCTCTTGGGAAGGGATACACGAATTCATGGCCCTAGGGGTGTTTATATAGGTGTAGAGATAGGGTTTCAGTCATTATCCTTATCTAGTTGATTATCCATTAAGCAACCAATAAGATAATCCTTGAATCCTTATCATACTCGAATTCTAAGGGATTTACACCTCAAATTCGTTCACCATATATATAAGATAATCCTTACCTTATTTTGTAACTATCACATAATTACAATTCAGCCCCTCTAGTTTAATTAATTACATTTGATCACAAAACTAATTCTTAATTAATTATTGACCAATATTAATTAAACAAATATGATTTCTCCTTTAATATATTATCCTTATAACATATTAATAAATCATATTATCCTCTCTCTCTTTATTCATTTCTCCAATCAAGTTGCTTTGGTGAAGGCAACCCAAAAGGACCATGCACTATCGGGTCAAGTACATACCAAAATAGTTATGGACTTAGACACTAATCCAACAGGACCAACCACACTGTAGACTCGAAGGACATGACTAGACTCGGAGGGTGGACCCGGTGGAATGAAGGCCCGATACGGCTGACCAGTCACACAGTAAACCCGATATGCATGACTGTTCCATGTTCTGTTATGTTATGTATGCTTTTTATGCTATGGGCCGGAAGGCAATATGTTATGGGCCGGAAGGCAATATGTTTTGGACCGGAAGGTCGTAGCCTGGAAAGGCGTATATGTGGTTGGTATTTTGGGGGTATCTCACTAAGCTTTCGGGCTTACAGTTGTGGTTTAATGTTTTTCAGGTTCTTTAGGAGACTGTGGCAAGGCAAAGGCGTGATCGTACCGTTCCTCGCGTTTATGTTTTATGAAATGGACCTGGGAATACTCTGATAAATAATGTATTGAAAACCTTTTTTTAATAATGTTATTAAAATGGATTGTTTTGAAAAGTTTAAATTATGTTGAAATTTTTGGTCGTTACAAAACATTTGACTTTACTATCCTTATGGATTTTTAGGTAAATTTGGCAGCTTCGCAATCAATGGCCTTCCTTTGGCAACAGAAACATATGGACTCTTTGAAAATGGTACACGGGACTATCACAGACTTAGCCTTTCTCTTTACCATTTGGTCAACCGATTTGACTATGGCCAATCCCTTTCAATTGGGAAGAGAAAGGTTTTCTGGACTTCCAATGTTACCATTCTCAATGTCCATGGAAGATTGGGAAGTTGATCTTCCAATCAAATTTTTCCTTACCAATGCTGTAAATCATTGCTGATTCAGCATCATCAAGCAAATAGGTAAGATCATTAAGGGTCATGTCGTAATCTGTCATCAGGGAGTGACCAAGTTAATAGCCAGCTACCTTGAGACTTCGACACCCGACTGTACTGGCGTTGTCAATATGTGACTTAATCTCCAAGACCTAAGCACATATAGACTTTGTTTGCCAATAGGGATTGAGTGACTTAGAACTTATCAGTTCTTGAACTTGTGGGATAGGGAGATTTATTGAAGGAGGTGGAGGAAGTGAAGTATGATTTCCAGTCCCACTAATGCACAACAAAGGGATTGATCTTTCACCTTGGTTGCCATTTGGGATATCATCTTCATTAGGAAGATTCCTCCTAAAGATTTGGGAAGACCGTAACTGTCTAAACTAGACATCTATAATGGGAGAAATTCAAGTTAGTTGATTTAAAGTCCTTAATATAACACCTAATATGAAATATTAAGGCTAGGACCCAATAACCTATTTATAACTGGAAGAGGGATGCCGTAATCCAAATTATAAAATAGTTAAAGGTAGGTAAATGACGATTTACCAATTTCCACCATGAAAAAAGAAATATAATTAAGTTTTAATTGGATTTGAAACTCCTAGTTTGAGCACTACTAGAAAAACAGCCTTTTACGACGCTCATTGTGCGTCGTAAAAGGCTCAGACGACGCGCAAATGCGCGTCAAGGAAGGCCCTGTCATAAAGAGAGACGACGCGCATTTACGACGCTCATTTACGACGCTCAATTACGACGCGCGTTTACGACACGCAATGCGTATCAAGGAAGGCCCTGTCATAAAGGAAGACGACACGCATTCGCGTGTCGTAACCTTACGACGCGCGTGTTAATGACACGCAATGCGTATCAAGAAAGCCTCTGTCAAGAAAGGCCATGTCATAAATGAAGATGACACACATTTTTGCGTATCATAATTTAAATGTTTAAAAAAAATATTTCTTATAGATTTACTTATTTCCAAATTAAATTTGTATTTAATGTTTCAAAATTGAAAATAAAATATCATATACAAAAAATAGAATCCATTGCATAAATTTAATGTCATACAACTCTATTTATTACTATATATTAATTTGCATCTAATCTACTATGTACATCAAATTCCAACTAAGTAAAGTTGCATCTTGCCTTTCATAATTCTTTAAGACTAGTGCTCCAAACAGCTGATTATATGAATAAGCAGTTGTACATTGGCCCATCTCACTCAATAATGAGTTAGCCAAATTCAACTACAAGTCTTTACTGCATCTTGCTGATAATATTGCGGCAAGATTTAAATCAAGTGGCTTTTTATTCCTTTCTTCCATCTACTTTACCTGATGCACAAAATACACAGAAACAAAAAAAACATTGTAGAGGAAGGGGTAATTTGGGAAAATGTGAGGGGTATAATATAATAAGAATGCAAATACTTAATACCACTTTCATGCCATCATGGAAACCTATTGTCACTACTAGAAAGTAGAAACTAACTAACTCAGTTTTTTATCGGTTATGATTGTATCTATATTACCTAATACTACATTGCTATTAAAGAACACCTTAAATCAAAATTGTAATCAGATTCGACATATCCAACCAAAAAAAAGAACAATTAATTTCTTTCTACATAAATCTGCTCCATAAGAAAACTTAAGCATACCAAGAATCTTATAACCAGAGGCAAAACAATTTAGTGCAGCCTTTCCAAGTTCACCATCCTGTTCAGCTGTTAGATTTGCAACAATTCACAGGTTTTTTATCTGTCCACTTATCTGCACCATAATCATGGAAAGGATGAGCAACCTTCAGCTATAAGCCTATAAGGTGTGAGTGTGACACATTAATGGAAAGGACTATCATATGTAGTTATATACCTCAGGGTAATGGTTATCAAGCAAAAATACAACAAGATTAGTACACTCAATTTTTGTCTTGTTTTTAGAATGCGGACCTTCCAAAATATATGGAAAAGTTATAGCAGTTGAATAGCTATGTATGATCTTCTTCATTAGTATAGTCTCAAATTTCTTGCAATACATGCCTCAACAATCAGATGCCCCTTCCACATGGTGAAGCATAGGTGCATCTTCCTCCCCTGACGCCACCCGTAATTTATGTATCTGTATATATTTTTTAAACATCATTTATCCAGTCAACACTTGATCTTAAAAAAAAGAACAAAGTCTCAATGATATCAATGTACTAATTAAAACCCATACATTGCTGAGAAATTGAAAAGCCGTCTCGATCCCATGACTCTCTTTGATATAAAGAAAAAGGTGTATAGTCTACACATCATTAGAATGCATATATTAATTAGTGACTAATATATTAACAACAAAAAGAAATTAAAAAGAGAAAAAGAAAAAACCAAGCTTGATAGATCTTCCTTAATGGAGCTATCTGAAGATGGCAATTCTCCACCTGTGTACTCATCAAAAAAAAAAGGGCTCACTTGTGTACTCATCAAAGGCTTATAGACAATTCCAACTATTAATGGCTCTTTATTATTATTATTATTATTATTATTATTATTATTATTAATATTATTATTATTATTATTATTATTATTATTATAAGCTTACTCATGGTATATTAATTTGATTCATAAAGCATACAATTTATTACCCAACAGCCCAGCGAACTCTGAAACTTGAGTAAAAAATGGATCTTTTGAGGACCCCACATTAACACATTTCACAACATACATAACAAGACAAACCAGAACGAATTTAGAGTTATCTTATTCATCTCTTTCATATATATATATATATATATATATATATATATATATATATATATATATATATATATATATATATATATAAACAATCAAAAAAGAAGTAAGGATGAAACTAACCTGTAGGACCTTAGCTACACCTTCCGGATAAAATTCCCTATGTCTAGCAATTCCTGGAAGTGGTTGGCCTTCATCATTTTCATCAGCTTTCTTGTCAGCTTTCTCAGCTTCTCCCCTACTCCCCTTATCTGGAAATAGCATGTCGGTAAATGCTCACATTTCATGAAAGAAAGTAACTCAATAAAAGATGTCAAAGTGAAGTACAGATAAGAGACAGACATAATAATCCAAAAGACATGACATGGTTTTGATTTTCAGGTTTCCCTTCTCCAATATTAGGTGGTCCTGGTAGCTTCATGCGATATATCTCTTGTAATCACACCACATAACAATTATAGTAGTGAAGTTTGTGACTTTATTTTTTGGTTTTGGTAGCTTACCTGGTCAAACCCATTGACTACTTCGACTAAAAAGGGTGAGTAAATCAACTGATTCTTCCCGCTCTTCAACATAAGCCACCTTGGAGTGATTAACATGTTTCAATCATGGGTAATGCAGGAAGTCTTTTAGGTAAAATCGCATATTTGGCCTTTCACCACTACACTTTCGACAAACAACAATTGACAAAACTGTTCATCAAGATGTAATGTGCATTTTTTTGCTTTTTGGATCTTGTATTTGAGTCTTCGGAGTCCCCAATCACTGAATCTATGGACTCAGCCCTTTTTCTTAGTTAGAAACTCTTGATACAGAAATCTAACGATGATGAATCCGGTGATCAAGTGAAGAAAGAGAAGCAGCAGGCTGAGGAAGGTGGTTCTGCTTCAACGGAAAAAAGAAAAGATGAAGAAGGATGTTGAAGTGGACATGAGGGGTAAATTGGTCAAATCACTTTCTTTTCAATCGGAAATCAGATAAATAATCTATCAACCGTACACCAGGGGTAAATCGGTCAAATAATTTTCTTTTCTTGATTAATAATTCTCAACAAGCCATATAGGGGTTGTCCAATGTCATTTAAAGGGTACTATAGTCTATAGACATCTGGCTAATAGTCAAACACTATTATAAAATAAAGTCGAACATAGTAATTGTTAGTACCTTGTCTGTTATCCAGAGCTTATTCTTGTCTGCTTGGACCAAGTTCCAGTAATTAAGAATCATATCATCCTGTACAAACAAAAACCCTTCTGCACTCTTAAATCTATCAAGCAATCTTGGAAGTTCCCTGCCACACACAAAAAAACAAACTAATTTGTTACAAGCCCAAATGTCTAAAATACCCTTGTCTTGTTTACCATATGCATGATGCATCATATCACTCTTTCAAATGCAAGACAGTATGAGCTCAATCTTTCAAAATTTATACACTATACTAGCCAAAAAGGATTACCAACTTTTTACAAATTTATACACTATACTTTGCTGAGGAAGGTGGTTCTGCTTCAACGGAAAAAGAAAATAAGAAGAAGAACGATGTTGAAGCGGAAAAAGGGAAGCAGCACTCTGAATATAAATAATGTGGTCAAGAATAAGAACATATAGAGGAAAAATTCACAAAAACAAAGGGGAATTAAAATTTATATATAGATGTTGAAATAGGAAGACAAACTATGTCAGGATTCTATGCCAAGTGCTTCTTTCAAATAGCCTTTCACTGTAACCTGGAAACCTCCAGGACCTATGATGGGTTCTTCCACGTCAGCAAGTTGAGACCCGATGAGACCTTGCAAAGTCCATGTAATTGGACATAGGTAGTAGAACCAGATCCACCATCCGGGTATTAACTACATACAAAAAACAAAAGTAAAAAAAATAGGAAATAAATAAAACATTGGTATTAGGCAGAAGTTAGTTACTGGTTTTGGGACAAGAAAACCAGCAAGGAGGTTCCATAAAGATTAAAAAGCAGCAGAAACAACATCAGCCATTTTTTGAGATGGTGCAAGACCAATAGCCAACATTCCATAGAAGGTAAAGTAAGTGAAAGTTAAAAACATGAACGCAATGTAGAGAAAAAACTTCCCTGCACCAACCACAACAATAATTGAAGCTAACACTGTAATTTGTAATTTGTAATTGTTTTTTATTCGCAGCAAAAGAAGGTAAATATATAAGTATCAATGAATCATACCAATTGTCCTCTGAAACTTGATCATGAAGTATGTAGTGATGCCATATAATATTGTCTGGGCCGCAATGTAGGGGATCTCCACAAGACCCTACAGTAGAAATCAAACTCAAAACTCACATGTAGAAAGAAAAAACAAACAAACTGAAAAAAAATGAAACATAATTATTTACCTGTGCTATAGCATAAGGGACTGCAGAATACATTCCAGCTGCTCTCTCATGATAAAAAAATCTGTTCTTTCAATTGCGATCATTGGTTGCACAGATGAAGAGTTATTTACACCAAGAAACATGACAGCAGTATAAAGAGCACCCATTACCACCATTAAGTTTTGGCTTCTGTTTCTGCAGAATTAATAAATTAACCATTTATTTATTTAACAAGAAATGTGATGCCCAAAATCAATCAACAGATGATATGTTACCTTTTTGACCCGACATCCCAAAATACAGAACCAACAATCAAGGCACACATAGTTGTGAAGAACAATCTCACAGCATTGTATTATGGGCTTCTCCAATACACAAGATTCTGCTTCCATAAGCAAGTTCTGAATTGAGAGAAATCTGTTTGGGAGTATGTGGAAGAGAAGTGTAAAGGTTCAGAGCCAGTTTGTGGAGTACTCGTTTGTTGAATCAAAGCTTCAATATCTCTATTGAAAGATGTTAAAAATATCAAGCTTTTGTTTAGAGTGAGTACTCACAAGTCACAACACCAATTAAAAAAATTACCTATATTGCTTAGAGTTTTTATAAATCACTGAAAAGTCTTGCCCGAGTCTTTCTTCAGCAGCAGGTGTAGTCATTTCAACCATCCAATTTGCAGTATTGTATTCACTTGGCATCAGTGTAATTCCATTTATACTCTGGAAAGGAAAAAAGAGAAAATGTAAAACCATGGAAACAATGTTCCTTTTGAAGCATAATGAAGGATTTCTTTTTTACCTCAAAGTACTTGATCAAAATGTTTGACCTCTCACCTACTTTTCCCCCATAAATCACACGTCCTCCTCTTTTCATAAGAAGTAGATGAGGATGAAACATAGTGTATAAGAACAAAGATATCAGAGAAACATCAAAAAATGAATACAACCTTTCAACATCAGATGTTGGTTGTTTCGTCCCGTCTTTTTTCTTGATACCTGTCATCATATCTCTTGGAAATAAGATCGACTTGCAGTGGACCTCTAATTTATGGAATAAATTGAAGTTTTATCAACAAATAAACATCATTCAACAGAAAAGGGAGAATATAGAATAAATATCGAGAGAGAGAGAGAGAGAGAGAGAGAGAGAGAGAGAGAGAGAGATAGAGAGAGAGACAGAGAGAGAGAATACAAATGGTCGAGAATGAGCGACCATCAACTTACCTGATGGGAGGAACAACGAAGAAAACTTGCACGTTGATTTGTGGAGGTGGATAGGCTACCTATACCTTAAACGATGCTTGAATCGGACCTATATAGGGCTTCACTAGTTCATAGATGGCGACATGGATAAGTCGCAAAGCCCTTAATCTCCTTGTAAGTTTGACATAGGCATAATGTAATGATCCCGAAATCATATTCTTGTGAGCATGAGGAGTCATAAATGGTTGGCTCTTAAACAAAGGCTTGTAAAATGGATCAATTGTCGCAGTCTTGGTGAGGTGAGATGAGCTCGAGGTCGCCAGTGGGAAGATTTGAGTGGAGCTCTCCGGAGGTAAGAAGTGAGCGGAAGTGAGCAGATGTAACTAACTTTATAGAGAAAATCCTTTTGAAAAAAAACCCTAGATCCCTTACGATTCTGTCATAAGATGAACAGTATGCGCAATCTGAGGCTAGAGGAGGCAACAATGATCGGAGGCGGTGGATGTGGGTGAGAGTCGGGGTAGAGACAAGGGAGAAGAAGGCGGGGGTATAAAAAATTTGGGGATTTCATTTTCCCTCTAAGGAGAAGCGCGTTTCTTAAATAAAATATAAAACGACATTGCTAGTGGACGCACAAGTGCACTCCTTGTTTTTTATTTTCATTACATGAGACACTAACCTAAGGGCACGCAATAATGCGTGACATAAATCCTTCAATTTTTTGAAGAGATGACATGTCTTTAATGTCACTCTCTTTTACGTAACATAAATCAATGAGTGTCGTGGTTTGTGCGTCGTAAAAGGCTCTTTTTCTTGTAGTGGAGATACACTGAACTTTTCAATGGCATGTTTGAATCTCGAATGTGCCCTCTCAAGTTTGTGACTGGGATGCCGAGGATCACAAACAAGGTGTGAATAACCATACAAATTGACTTGGTACCCTTAACAATATTACCTAATCGATGTGCCAGTTAACCACACACGCTCCACCGATCTATAATAAAGTCAAGTTACCCTTTGCCACTCTTACTAGTCCATGTTAGTGTGCCGGTTAACCACACACGCTCCACTAACAACTTGGTAAGGTACAAAGTGTAATTTTATGGGCTAGCACCAATTTCGCATTTTCCTAAAGTAACTAAGATTGGAAATTTATAATCTATAGTTACTTTATAATTCCTTATACTTTTAATGAGTATTTAAAGTCGTATCCTACCCGTTCGGCTAACGACCCTCCACCGATCAAGGAAGCGGTGGGTGAGAGTGGACACCCATTAAGTCACCATTTTATAGGCAACAACCTTATACCCCCTTATAGACCGACTTCGTGAATGAGGCCTACTAACCATAAGAATGACATATTCTTATACATATATATATATATATATATATATATATATATATATATATATATATATATATATATATATATAATTAAAATTATAATAATAGTATAAGGGTGTATTTTAAACAATTAAAATACTTGGTGGTTTAATCTAGTAATTAAACTATACTATTAATTTAATTAAACTTAAACCTTGTCTTTATGGAATATTAAGTCTTTTAATCAAACACTTTAATTAATTTAATGAAGTCCATAAAGTTTGAATTTTTTTTAACTTTAAAAAAAAAAAAAAAATTTGGAATTAAAGTGTAAGACTTTACAAATTCCAAAACTTGAGGGAAAGAATTGAAACTATTCCAACTCTCTTCAATTTGTAACTTATGAGTTTTAATGTTTCATAAAGTTGAAGACTCTTCATTTTATGAAACCTACTATTCTTTAATTTCAACTTTAAAAGAAGTGACTTTTGGTTATCCATAACTTGAGCACAAGTTATGGACACCATCAATGCTATTAAGATCATGAATTAAACATACATGGACGTTACACATAATTCCTATGATCTTCTAAAAACTCATAAGAACACAAATTCATGTCAAGCAATTTCAAGAAATCATATAAACATATATAATATTTGAAAATTGATAAAGGTCATGTAAAATGGGTTAACATAATCATTATCACTTTCAAAAACAGATTTTACAAGTCCAAAACAGTTTGAGATAATGATTTTAATCTATTTCCAACAACAAACTCGAAAAACTGCCCAACACGCTCCTACTCGTCGAGTGCATGATTTTACTCGTCGAGTAGGATAAATTGGTTCATGGACTCGACGAGTCCTCGCCATGAACTCGGCGAGTCTAATCGTCAGTGAGCAGATTTTTTCGATTTTTAAGCCGTTTTGCATCAAGTATACAGAAAACAATCCTAGGCTCTGATACCACTAATGGGTTTTGAGCATTCTAACACTTCCTAAGTTTAGATGCAACCCTAATAACCTTGAATCTATGTTTTCTCTATATACATGCAAATTTATTTTACAAGGTTATTTCCTAACTAGCATGGCATGGGGAATAAATAAAATGTAAAACTAGTAGAAATACATATCTTGTGGTTGCTTGGATTCCTTCAAGACTTTGTGAGCCTAGCACCCCAAATGTTGTGCCTCAAATGCTTCACACAACACCACAAAACTTGGAATAACTTGAGAGAATATTTCTTACACTCAAAAATCGGTTATGCCCTCTCTAGTACCTCAGTTCCAATTTTGCATGCTATAGGGTTTCTTTTATAGTGTGTCATAATTAGGGTTTCATCATGAAGACCCATAATTGTCATGACTCTTCATTTCTCATGACCCATGGGTTTGTTACTCCAATGGACTATCCATGGAGCTCCAAATGGTTACATCCATAACCCATAAACCATGGATCATTAATCCACCATAAAAGAATTGATGATTGTCATAATCAACCCTATATATTTAATTAGTCTCACTTTTATCACCAAATTAATACTAGATTAATACTTGATCAATACTAATTAAATAACACTATTATTAATATATTAGAACTTATAATATATTAATAATCATAAGTGCCATATTCTCTCATTTAGTCTATCCAAGTATTGCAATGCCATGCAACCCAAATAGACCATGCCGGGTCGGGTCAAGTACATACCAAATAAAGTTATGGACTTAGACATTATATCCAACACAAAGATCTAGGAATTTCATGATAGATTGGAGTTGGTAAATTTGTATTACATACCTTAACAAATTCACATTCAGATTAGGACATCCCTTTTCTTTGTTGTAAATTGTATTTTCGGATCCTAGCCTTGAATATTCATTTTGGGCTAAAATATTAAGGATTTATATCATTAACTAAAAACTATGTCTCTCTATATAGATGTCTGGAAATGGTGAACATGCAATAGTTGGGTTTTGAGCATTTTAACACTCCTAAGGTGTACATGCAACCCTTGAAACCTTGGATCTATGTTTTACTATGATACATGCAAAATTGATTTTCCAAGGTTCTTAACCTATCTAACATACCATGGGGAACTTTTAAACATAATTGCTAGAAGAAGAACATAGCTTTTTGTAGTTTGGATTCCTTGAGAACCTTGTGAGCCTAGCACCCAAAGTGTGATGCCTCAAATGTCTCACACAACACCAAATACACTTGGAATAACCTTGAGAGAAATAGAACACTTCTAAAATCGGCTATGCCCTCTTTGTAACATCCGGATTTTACCAGGTATCTTGTAAGTTTAAATTTTGTTATTATGTGAGAGGGACTCGGCGAGTTGGAGCTCAGACTCGCCGAGTAGGGACGCGGAATTGATCGCTGGTGCGCGCTTGGACTCGGCGAGTCCATGGTATGGACTCGGCGAGTCTGCGCTGTGTAATGAAACCCTAAATCTCCGGGTTTGAGGCCTATTTAAAGGGCCTTATGGCCGACTTTTGTGCTCACCCAACCCCCAGAGAGAAACCCTAAAGAGATCTAGAGCGTTTGTGAGGAAGGAGAGGCCAATCTTGAACTTTTGTGGGTGTTGTTGCAAGAAGGAAGTGTTCAAGGCAAGAGGAGGCTGAAGGAGGTGCGATTTTTGTGGTCTTTGAGCTCATAGAGGCTGTATTGAGGTATTATTCTCGGACCTTCTTCACTTTTTGGTGTTTATTCTTAGTGTTAGGGTTTTCTAACCCTTTTAGAGGTTGATTAAGTGGAGTAGTTGGTCCCTTCTCGAGTTGTGTTTTGGATCTGGACCCAAAGAGGTCCAGAGACCTTAACCCATGGAGCTTTATGAGTCATTTTGGGAGTCTTGAGCTTGGAATGTCATTTTTGGGGCTAAAGGACCATTTTGGACCATTTAGATGTTATATGTGTGTCAAGGTCCCAACTTTACGTGATTATCATGCTTGGGGAGGCCAGATCTATGATTGTATGGAACAGATCTGACCTCAGAAGTTGTTTTGAGTTCGTGCATGGCATGAACTCGCCGAGTCCGAAGAACGGACTCGGCGAGTAGTATGAAGGTGGCCCGTTAATCACTCAGTGAGTGGACTTGCCGAGTTGGGGGAAATGACTCGGTGAGTCAGGGAGAGTCAGGGGTCTAAGTTCAAGTTGGAACTCGCCGAGTTATTCTGAGACTCGGCGAGTTGAGTCGGGGTGGCCCCACGATTCATGCTAGGTGGAACTCGTCGGATCAAGGGGGGTACTCGACGTGCCAAGAGAGGATCTAAGAGAGTCAGTGGACACGTGTAGACTCGCCGAGTCGCCCTAGTGCACTCGACGAGTCGGGTCAAAGTTTGACCGTTGACCTTGTTGACTTTTAGGGTTGAGTACAGTTGTATTTATGAGAGTTTTATGTGATTAGGTGGAGGCTAGATCACACTTCTTCCGAGTCAGATATTTACCGAGACATCGAGGTGAGTCTCCTCTCTATAC